CACGGAAGCACTGCACAGGCCAGGCTCCCCTAAGCAGGTTCCACCTTCTTTTCTCCACAGGATCAAATTCCTATTCCTCAGAGCTTCTGATTGCTGGATGGGGAGTGCTGATATGCTAACTTAGTCTAAGGTTTCATAATAGAAAATAGAGCTACAGGGTATCCTTCCCAAGGGCATTTTCATTTCTAAGGGCCTATCTAGAGATGGTGACGCCTGTTAGGACAAATTAGCTATGTTCCATGACATAAATATGGGGTCAATATCTTAAGCCAATAGGGCTTTTCTGACACTCTTCAGAAATAATCTTATGTAAATCCCTGTCCACTCTACCAACCTTGAGGCTTGGGAGGAGTCACCAGTTCATGAGAAAAAGCTGGGTTGCTTGACCCTATGTTGTTCTCTGCAAAAATTTCCAAGTGGTACACTGTTTGCGGCTCCAGGCCCTTGAGCTGATACTGGGTGATGGTGGCATTCTTGATCTTCACGTCAATGTGCTGGTCTTCACTCTTGCCCTGAACCTTGTAACGGATGATAATAGAAGAAATAGAATAACCATCCAAGATCGTCCAAGAGATCACGGCTGAGGAGTCTGTGATGTTGGAAATCTTGATGTTTTCAGGTTGAGGAGGGAGAACTAGAAATTAAAAAAAACAAAACACTTCACTTAAGATATACTACCATCTCTTAGGTTATTATGCTTTTTTTTTTTTTAAAGATTTTTATTGGGGAATTGGGCGAGGGGAACAGACAAGTTGCTGTCCTTTTGTTCTTCAGTCTAGTTGTGGAGGACGTTGCTTCACTGCTCCAGGTTGAGCTGTTGTTCAGCATCTTAGCTGTGGAGGGCAGTGTCATTGGCCCTCATATGTGGGATCCAAACCAGGGCCCTCTGGCGTCCCAAGCCAGTTTTTAACCATCGCGCCACACGGCAGGCCCTGTTATGCTTTTAAGAGACAGTTAATGTTAGCTCATGAACCGTGAATGGCTAAGAGGCATTTTCCCAGATGGTAATTCCAAACAATTGGCAGTGGACTTCATGCAGACTCCATGAAGAGGCACAAGATGAGAAAATGGCAACA